AAAATCAATTTTATATATTATTATACTTTTCTTGAAAAGTAATATGTATATATAGGTTATAATATATTTTTAATGTCTAATTTAATCTGCATTAAAACTAATAATAACTACTTATGTAAATCTTATTAATTATTAATCTTATTAATTTATTTTATTTAAGAATTATATTTCTCTTATTTTTTCAATTCTATAATTACTTACTAAAATATTATTTATATTGTTCACAGTATCTCGTATCACTATAAGTATCTTATATTTTGTCTTGACAGATAGTAAAAGAAACTAGTAAAATCTAATAACTCGCAATAACTTGTACCGAAAAATGGGACGCAACGCATTTTTTTGTTTGAGCTTCTTATTCGAGTTTTGCATCCAAATTTATAGCGTTTTCGATTATACAGGATTTGAACGACCCAGGGTTGATTAATCACTATTTTACTATAAATGCAAGTCTTTCATTGGTGGAGAGGTTGCAATGACGTCATTAACCAACCCTGGGTCGTTCAAATCCTGTATAATCGAAAACGCTATGGGTGCATTTGTTTATGCAGCGGTTAGCGCATTCACTGCGTTTATCATCTGCTAGTCACGTTACTTAATTTACCGAACGCACACCTGCGTGAATGGCTGCGTGAATGGATTTAAAAGCATTGGCGAAGTTGCATTACGTTGTGTATGTACAAAATTTTGCGAAAATAATAAAGACTGAATCAAAACATTCTTAAATTGAGAGTTCTCTGATCCTTTTTCTATATCAGCTGTAGACGAAGTCATTACATGGTTAGGAACTATTGCAGCAGAACTTGTACCTGAGATACATTTATAAAAACAAATCCCAAAACATTACAAAATTTGTTTATAGAAAATTCAGACAGTTTAGAATTTTATGTGTTTAGATTTTCAATCTACATTCAATACGTGTGCATTTTTAGGTTAATTTGATTGTAAATACGAATATTGTAAACTTTAAAAATTTTTCCATTATATAATACTTACCTTGGATTATTTTTACTTTTGCGGGATCGATTTCGAGGAGTTGTTCTACCCCTTTTTGATTTTTTACTTTAATAAAATTTATTTTCACATTTTAATTAATCAATGTGGATGCGGATAATTAAGCTAGATTTGCAATGGGTGTATTCGTTTACGCAGTACTGCAAGCAGAGCATCCAGAGCAGGACCTCCGAAGTACCTGCGCAGATGAGATACATCCCTGCGTAAACGAACGACAAACTGCGCTGCAGTCGTTTTTGCAGGCGGAGTAAACAAACGACATCTGCGGCAGTAACTGCATAAACGAATGCACCCTATAAGAGTTTTCACTTCTAATAGCGTTTTCGATTATACAGGATTTGAACGACCCAGGGTTGATCAATCACTATTTTACTATAAATGCAAGTCTTTCATTGGTGGAGAGGTTGCAATGACGTCATTAACCAACCCTGGGTCGTTCAAATCCTGTATAATTGAAAACGCTATAAGTTTGTTTCAATTCAGTTCCACGACGACAGACGGCGTTACGGTGCACAAGTGTCCACTTACAACTGTATCCAACTTTCTGTGTCTTGTATTTTAATATTTGTGTTTGATATCTGAAAGATTAAACGTAAGGTTAAAAAAATAGATAACATGTTATAATGATATTAAACGGAGCGCCAGCTAAGTTCTTTTCTAGGAAATCAGTATATAACACTAATTATACGATAATATAACTCGAGTATACCAATGCCTATGAAAACTATGCACCAGACGTAAATAGAACCAACGTTCGTTACTTGAATGACGAACTTATGCATTTTGCACCTCAGAATACTTGCTGAGTAAAAAGAGAGGATTACAAGGATGTCAAGTGCGGCAGAGAGATTACAAGATACTTATTTTAATGTAATTTTGCTCTGAATCAAGTAGTCCAGTTTTGACGCGCACAGAAATGGCGGATGCTATATTTGTCACGCATTTTGTACTCTTGTTGATATTCGAATCATGTCCAGGTATGAAGATGAACTATTGTAAATTATAAGCTATATTCTTCATATAATGTGTAATTCTAAATGGGATATTTATCTCTTCTCTTGCTCGAATATATGGTTTTAGATATTTGTGTTGTCTACTTCTGACAAAGATTGATAAAGTTTTTGCCACGTAAATTTATGACACGTAAAAATCTGAATAGTTTAGAGTGTGTTTTAAAACTGATTCGTGATTCTTTTTATCAATTTCTGTTATTATTTTTATTATTAGTATAAATATATTGTACGTTATTTTTTTATATTTTTTACTTACACTATCATTCATATTTTTTAGCACAAATTGCAGTAGAGGAAGAAGATGTTACTCTTTTTCCGGAAAAATCCTCTTTATCTGAGCCATTAGATAGTTTTGATAGCCATGTACTTGGCCAAAAACATTTAAAGTGCTATATATGTGAAGATGCCGAGTGTTCATCGTCTAACGATGTCTGCTATAATGCAATTACTGTAAGAATTTTTATATTGTTTTATACTTTATTTTTTTAAATTTAAATTAAATTTTCTTTATATAATATACGTACAAATTTGCATTTTGATTGTATTCTATAGTGCTGGAAATCCAGGGTGAAACAAATCGATGGAAAAGAGTACGTTAGCCGTGGCTGTTTTAAATCAGAGGAGCATAAGTTGTTTATGTGCAATAAACGAGGAGTTCAAAATGGAACCTCTAAAGAAAATTATATTAGAGGAGAATCGGGTATTGTTCAATATTCTATACAATGTTGTCAAGAAGATTTTTGTAATATTGGACCATATCCTACACTGCAAGATTATTCAACCAGTAAGATGTTTATATTTTAGGAGGGAATAGATATAAATCTTAGAGATAAATAAATATCTCGTGAGAAATTTTATATTTATATAAATGTTTATATATAAAATATGTAAGTTGATTTATAATAAAATGATAGATTTTATTAAAAGCAATTTACATTTCTAAATTATTTTTAGATGCCGACAAGGGAAATTATATAGTAAAATTAACATTTGCAATTCTTGGACCAATAATTGGGCTGCTCATCATAGGAGGAATTCTATTCCGTCTGTTGGTGCATCGAACTCTGAAAAAACGGTCAATGGCGCCACGTCGGAATAAACTTATTTTAGATTCTGAAGTTGAACCTTCTGTGCTACATTTCTCTTTCTCTTCGCCTACATCATCCGCCACTTATCATTCACACGAGCTTAGAGCGACGGCTGCTGGTGACAGTACACTCAAAGTACATAAAACTACTTTTTTATATCTATCATATAATAATTATATGTCTTATGTATGTTAATTAACGCTGAAAATGTTTTGTAGGAATATTTAGACGGCCGAAGCTTGACTAGTGGATCCGGCTCTGGATTACCCTTATTAGTACAAAGAACTTTAGCTAAGCAAGTAGCTTTAGTAGAATGTCTCGGCAATGGAAGTGGAGGATTTGGCGGAGAAGTGTGGAGGGGAGTCTGGCATGGCGAGAATGTAGCAGTAAAAATTTATTTCTCACGTGACGAAGCCGCATGGGCTCGAGAGACTGAGGTTTATTCCCAGCTGTTGCCATCCAGACACGACAATATTCTAGGATATGTTGGCAGCGATATGACCAGTAGAGCCAGTTGCACCCAACTCTGGCTGGTGACGCAGTACCATCCGCTCGGTTCGCTCTTTGATCATCTCAACCGATCACCGCATCCATTGACACATCATCAAACACTCAATATATGTCTGAGCATCGCCAACGGCTTGCTTTATCTGCATACGGAGATTCACGGCACTAGAGGCAAACCAGCTATGGCCCATCGCAATCTCAAATCGAAGAATATCCTGGTCAAAACTAATGGCGGTTGCGTTATTGCCGATTTTGCATTAGCAGCTACACAAGATCGTCTTACGGCAGACAGAATTGACTTGCGACAAGGAACAAAACGTTATATGAGCCCTGAAATTCTCGAACAAATGTTAGTAAAATGCTTCTCTTATATTTGCTACAAATTAACCGAATCTCAACGTCTATTCTACATTTTCAGGTTAAACATTGAATGTTTAGAGAGCTTCAGACAAGCTGATATCTATAGTTTAGGACTGATATTATGGGAAGTCTGTCGCAGATGCATAAGCAATGGTGTAGCCCTAGAATATACAATGCCATACAGTGAATGGTTACCAAGCAGTAATCAAGAACCTTCTGTAGAAGAAATGCGTAAATTAGTTTCGCTTGACCAGCGACGGCCGCCACTTCCTAATAGGTGGCATTCTGATCCGGTAAATCATTTTTTTTAAATATTAACATCTATCAAAACTTAACTTAACTCACATGTAGATTACTATTTTGTCTATTTATTTGTGTCATATATTAATATGTGAATAATTGAAATCATTACTCCTTTGACAGACATTGGCTGGGATGGGAAAGTTAATGCGAGAGTGCTGGCATGGGAAACCAGCAGCCAGATTGCCTATTCTTAGGGTAAAGAAGACACTCGTTAAATTAGCAGCTAATGATTCTCGTGTTCATTTACCCCTTGACTGACCAGCGTTCACTTTACTGAGCTCTCTTTCATCTATATATTTATTACTGTTGCTGCGTCAACCTATCATGCACATAATAAGTTCAATCATTGTCATTAGCATTCATGCGTTATCAAACCGTTATATCAAAAAGATAACAAAATATCGTATATTGACATATCGAAGTAACTTTGTTAATGTTTGGCGTATGGGTTTTGTCATTTTATGTTCTATTACTGTTATCATCTCGGAACAATGATAATTAAGTCGAATCCCTCTAATCTTAATACTTCGCAATCGCTCGTTACATCTAACAAGGGAATATGCAGATATCTCCCTCCGATTTTGACGGGCTTTGAATATGTTGTAAAAATAAGAGATACGTATTTTTTATCTGCGTTTTCGCACGTTTAAAAGTTGAAACAACCCCGCACAAATTCAGTGGCCTAGTTTATATTTTACGTCTTATCCATACTATATCGTTTACATTACCATATTAAGCTGTTTAATACGAATTTAGTACGAATATAGTTTTTTACGCGTATCGAGTGATCGGTATAAATTAGTAATCAATAACACGTATTTTCAATTCAGAAAATTACTAATTAAAAATTAATTAATATTCTAAATAATCTCACGCTTTATCGATGCAAGTTCTTTTAAATTGGAAGTTTTTTATTTCAAATATAAAGAAGTAGATCTGTTTATTCAGTTATTTAGTGATACATCATGAAATGTGTAAATCTATCCCATCAATCGGCAATTAATGCATCGAGACTGCAAATTCTTTATTCTAAATTTTTTATATTGCAGAACGAAAAATCTTGTATTTGCAATCATTTAAGAGCGAAAAAAGATATTATTAAGATATTATTAAGATATTATTAAGATATTCTTTAGATATTCTTTCACATGCTTTCTCATTCTGACATGATCACACAATCGCCATGCAAATGTGAGAAACAATAGAAAAATACCTAACATAAGAAATTAAGATTATTATAAGATACACTAGCCTATTCAAAATAAAAAGGAGTTAAATATAGAGGGATTCGACTGTATTAAATATATAAACTTCGTCAAACCAAATCACTAGAGAAATATCGTAAATTCTACAGAGAAACAATTGTTCGAAATTATTTATTAAGATAAATATAGAAATTTTATTCTGTTCACAATCTGTAGCGAACGATCATAGCCATATAACTTTTTTAACCATGATTAATTTTAATAATTAATTTTAATAATGATTGAATGAAATCACATTATTTTAAGTGCTTTTCTAAGTAATTTTAAACAAGATTAGCTCGGCTGGCTTTTCTATACTAAGCCCTATTTGTAATAACGCCAAAAGTATGAACTTATTTCCACATAAATTTTGCGGAAAATTCTTTTATATTAAAAATCTTTTGAATATTGGGCCTAGTATCAACAACTCAAACAAATAATCAAAAGATATTTGTAAATAATATGTATTGATAATTATCATTACATGTCTTTCTTATCATAGAATCATAATCATCAGTGAATTATAAATGAAAATAAGTGGTACGAAAGTAAGCAGATTGTCATGGCAAACATTTCTGTACAATACTTTGAACATAATTTCATGAACTGCTTTCGTACTCGATGTTTATATATAAATAGTTAATGCACTACTAAAAACATATAGTAGTACGTAGTATAATTAGATGTAATACAATTATTGTACAAAGATTTTTATGTAACAAACACTATACATTGACTTAACACGAATATGTCAACATGATGTGATAGACTGTCTCAAAATCAATTATTCCTTAAGAGGTAATAATAGTAATCTTTTTAACAATGTGCTGTTATTTGAACTATGACTACCTATGCATTGCTCTAAGAATTGACGGAGATGTGATGATTCATTCGTGTGCAATAAGATTATAAATACGTATCTCCATATTAAAGGCTCTAATTCAACAGGGCATTCAAGAAGTTTAGGAAATAAGTGTGTTGCGTGTCTCCAATCTTGACGAGCAATATAAGATTGCATCTCCGACAATACTAAACTCTTTGAGAAAACCGTTCTATTTTTCTTATCACCTTCGCAATTTTTGCAATAATGAGCAATCTTGTCCTTTGGAATTTCCTTATTCCCGCTTCTTTTTCTCTCAATGTTATGTTGCTGTATAAGCTTTACAGCTTTATCCTAAACAGATATAATATTTGATATAGCATTTGATTATGTTATTTAAAATATATTATCAGCATTGCTGTAATAAATTACATACCACACTAGATTTTGTAATTTTGCGGGGCGATGTTAAATCTTGTGACATGGTTTCAATGTATGCAGTACATAAATATCGTTTCTTCTTATCCTTGTTCGATATCTTGGTATGTATACGATAATTACATTAGCGTGAATAATTTAAATAGTATGTATGTAATTCTGCGTATATAATTCGGACGTATGATCACATGTCCTTCAAACAACGTTAGTAAAACAAACACTGTAATTTAAAATTAGGTTAGGTATAATTATGTTTGAGAATATTGATTCATCTTTTCCCTTCTTTTTAAAATATTACATACATTACGTGTAGAAAAATTCACATTTTTAATGACTTAAAAACACTTTTTTAATATACTATCGTTTCCGTACTTTATGATTTTAATTTTCTCATTTCACGCATCTTACAGAAGTTTGTTCTTTGTCGCTACACTTTTTGTACTAGTGCAAGAAGTGTACACTGATAAATTCATATTTATTTTAGCTTCGAAATATCCTTTTTAAAAAATATAGGTTTTTAAATCTTTTTAAAATAAAATAGTAAATTATTAATCAAAATTAAAACTCTGAACGCCAAAGAATATCTTATAATGTGGAAAATATATATCATATTTGGAATTTCTTTCACTCACGGCAAGGGAAGGTTTAGGGCCACTTTGGGCCACTTTTTCCAACGTCGGTTAAGCCTAACCGTCCGTTAACTTTTCAGAATAGCCAACTTCGAAACTTGTAACTAAAATACACGTCATCGATTCTAACTGATCCTAACCTGTAATCTTTTAGCACGGTGACGGCACGTTAAATACACAATAAAAAGAAAGTGATATAAAAGTGAAAGAGTATATAAATATATTAACAATTAAAAATAGATAACAATGCAACGATCAAGAAACTTCACAACTAGTGATAAAAATAGTTTATTAGACATTATTTTTTTATATCGACACATAATAGAAAATAAAGAATGCAATAATAATGGGATTTTAAAAAAAGATGAAACGTGGGCAAATGTTACAAAGGAATTTAATGCACGTAATACGATACAACGAACAGAAAAAAATTTAAAATATTTATGGGATAATATAAAAAAAGAAACAAGAAAATATTGCGCTACATTTAAGCGAGAAATTTATAAAACAGGTATAAATGTTATATCGTGCCTTTTATGTCAAAACCACGAATGTGCAAATTTTAATCTCATTTTTCTTTGTAACATTTATTTTGTATTATTTGATTTTGTATTTACAAAGCTTCAGAACTAAGTATTTAAAATATCCTAGGATATTTAAAATATCCTCTGAAGCTCCTAGCTTTGTAAATACCTTATCAAGTAGTATAAAATAAATTTCACAAAGAGATTAAAGAAAATTTGCACATTTATGATTTTGGTATAAGAGGGACGATATGTATATTAATATAATTAATGGTATTATATTATTATATTAATGTTAAAATTAGAAAAGTATTATACTTTGTTATCGAATTTGTAGGTGGAGGTGTGTCTAATTTAGAAAAAAATATGTTATATGAACGAGCTAAAGAAATTATGGGGGAAACAGCAACAAATGGATTATTAAATCCCTATGATTCAGATTTCATTTATAATAAAGAAAACATTATAACAGTTGATGATATTTTACAAGATACAAATGATGAAAGCAATTCAACTGAAGTATTTACAGTAAATTCATAACTCAATAATACAAAGTTATTAACAAAATATAAATATATAATATTTAACACAAAACATTTAAAATTTTTAGCATTTAATAAAGAATAAAGAAATTAATGATTGGACAATTTGGAATAGCAAGAAATTAAAATCACAAATAAGTTTTCCGTTACAAAATAAAGAAGAGGATATACCAACAACATCAACATGTACTATTGGTAAAAAAAGGAAGCATGATGAAATCAGCCAGTGCAATAAGATTTCAAAACTAAAAAATACTGAAATAGCATGTAATAAAAAAGCTAATATAGAAGAAAAAGAAATGTACGAAATGGAAACGTTAAAGAACAAATTAGAAACAGAAAAATTAAAAGTAGAATTATTAAAATTATCTATAGAAAAAGAAAAAATATTAATAGAAAAAGAAAAACTGATAAAACAAAAAATTGAGGAACAAGAGGTAATATCTTTAGAATAATATGAAAATAAACTTTTAGTTTATAGTTTACAATATTTTTATTGATTAGTTTTTTTTTTACTCGAATTTTACTCGATAAGATTGAATTTTTTATTTCTATTAAGTTTCTTTGAAGAGATAATCTTCTGTACCTGAAATATGTTTGTTTTGTTCATTGAATTTAAAAGTTGAATTTATTTAATTTCTTATTTAAAACATATTTTTAGTTTATATTATCAGAGTTTGATAAACCAGATTATTAAATACGACAAATGCATTATATTAAAAAAATAATATAAAGGTGCTGTATTTTTTATTGTATTTAATGTTATTACTATTATAAATACATCTAAAATGTCATTATTTTTTGTAAAAGGTTATTAATAATAACAATTTCTTTCTTTAAGTTGATAATCTGTTTTTATTTATTTATATTTAAAAAATTAATAAAATATATTATTGTTGCCTTTAATGTTTTTTTGAAGTTTCTTTGACATGCTTCAAAGTAACCTGCAATTATTAAATTTGTAGATACATAATTTCATATTATATCTTATTTGTAATAATTTCATATATATATATAATATATATAATTCATTTCAATATTACCTTTTAAAATATTCTAAAATTAATTTTTCTCGTTCATTATTATTATTCCTAGAATTTAAATCAGCATTTTGTATTTGTATAATAGTATTATCACATTGTTCAGAATTACTAATTAAGTTTGAATTATGTTCCTGTTGGGCAATATTATGCAAAACGGCTGTTGCTATTATAATAGGAAATGTATTTTCAACTGTGCGACATCGCATTCCAATTGATAAAATAGCAAATCTTCTTTTCCAAATGCCAAAACATCTTTCAATTCTTGTACGTGTTCGAATTTGAGCTTCATTATATAAATGTTCTTCTGGTGTTGTGGGATGTAACAACGGTGTCATTAAATATGGTAGATTTGGATACCCAGAATCTGCAAGAAGTAAACTGTCACCAAATGTATGTGCATCAAATAAGGTTTTAATTCTAGAATGATTAAAAATTGTAGAATCATGTGTTGATCCTGGCCAACGTGCTACAATATCAATTATTTCTAATTTGGCATTTATTATGACTTGCACATTTATAGAAAAAAAGCCTTTTCTATTGCGATATAATTCGCAATTTTCTCCTCCTAAAATACAAATATATTATTTGTTAATTACAAATATATAATTTTGTAAGCTAAGAATAAGTTCAAGTATTACATACCAAATGATTCCACTTTAATATGTGTGCAATCCATACAACCAATAACACGAATAAATTTGGCTACTTTGAAAAATTTTTGTTCATTTTCTCGAATTTCCTCAGATAAAAGAGGTAATTTTATAAAATCGTTTCGTAATGCAGCAATCTCAGGAGATACTCTATGAATAATTTTGTGAGCGCTTGTTTCACTAATTCCACAAAAATCAGCAGCTGTTATTAAAAAGCATCCAGTTGCATAAAATCTGAGTGCAACCAATAATTGAATGACTGGTGGAATAGCAGCATTACTGAAATAACACATAAAATGATATTAAAATATTGTTCATAGAAACGTAATTGTGTACACTTCTTTTTTGGAAAATTTATTTTATACTACTTGGTTTTGTATTTATAAATATTATTATTTATACCGATTAGTATTATATTGTATTTTATTTTCGATTTTTTGTAATAACATTTCAAAACTTTTTTTGATATTACAAATCTTCTTTGAAAATCTTTTTCTTCACAAATATTAAAATAATTGTTGCGTAATTTTATAATATGTAATTTTTTGAAATTTTTTTATTTAAATTATCACACTCATCACTTTCATCATTATAAAAATTGTCATATTCCGAAAACCAATTATCATTAATAATATCCATGACAGCAGCTCAACAGTTGTTTAGGTTATGAGAGAAATTTTCTCTTTCTACTACAATATTTTGTTCTTCATGTTGGCAATCCTGTAACAGTCGGTTAAAGTTAACCGACGTTGGAAAAAGTGGCCCTTAGAGAGGCGCTTCTACTACTACTCTTGGCGCGCGGCACACCCATCCGCATCACACTAAAGGAGGGGCACGATATTTGAGGGGTTTCCCTCACGCAGCCAAACAAAACACGGAAAAAGGCGCGCGATACAAATAAGCGCGCACATACCGGCCGCCTTGAAAGCCAGTGCTTTCAATTAACAAACCCAAAATCAGTGCATATGAAAATTTATGATATTACGCTAACTTGAGCAAAACTTATATACTATGTGAATGAACGCAAGGAAAAATAAACGCTGACGAGACTTAATCTATAGGAAGCATACAAAGTTTAGTAATAGGGCGTTTGTAAATACTCTTAGCGGTACGCACTAATGCTGCGCGCACTATTCCATCATCTCCTGGACAAGTTTCTTCAATACGACCTAAACCCAGACTAACGGAGGCAAATTGTCTTCTTGCACTATTACCAATTGTCCTACTGTCACAGGAATTCCAACCGTGTTCCACTTG